ATACTTGTTGGCAGATCAATTAAACCATCTAGGAAAGACGTCTGGAAATACAGCTTCCTTGGCTCCGTGCAGGGGGAAAGCCCTCTCAGCCATTAGGCCCAAGATACCTGCATTTCCACGCCCCACCCTGTGAAAGTCAGCCCTGACACTGGCGTCCACTCTGTGGGGTCGGGCCACGCTCGGCGGTAGGCAGGCTTGGGCAGGTTGGCCCAGGCATAGGAGGCAGAGCTGGGTATAAGCACAGCTGTGTCATTTGCTAGCTGTGTGGCCTTGGCGAATTCGTTACCTTTCCAAGACATTTTCCTCATCTATAAAATGGGAATAACAGTCACATTGCCTCATGGCTTATTGCGATGAAAAGAAAAAAAATATGAGTAAAACCCTAAGCCCAGGGTACAGAACAGAACATGGATGGGAGCCAACAAAAATGTCATCAATACCCCCAAATCAAAGCTGCCTGGGACCCCAAGGCCACTTGTCTCTGTCTGAGACTCCCCTCCGCTTCTTGCATCACTCACACACCACTCACCACCCAGGAACTCCGAGATGTGAGACAGAGCCATTCTGTCAGCCCTCCCGCCGCCAGCATGTGGAGAGGGGAGCTGGGGAGCCATGGAGCAATTCCAGAAAGCAGCCCAGAGCAGATTCCAAAGGCCTGGCCCACCCCAGGGGCCCACACCTCACAGTAGTTGAGACATTTACAATGACATTCCCCTGTTAGTGATCAAGAATGCCTGATCCACGGACACTGCTGGGGATGCCTTTGTACAACAGAACACCCTGCAGAGTTCCATGCTGAGCCAAGAGCTTTGAGGGCTGGAGGTAAAGCCAGTCAGAGGAGGGAAAATGACAGGGACAGCATTTCTGGGACTCGCCCAAACTCACTGCTAAAGGCAAGGACCTGGCCCTGGGCTGCACGGTCACCAGCCAGATGCAGTAGATGCTCCTGTGCATTCTCTCCCTGCCTTGAGGGTAAATGTCTCCACAAGGTGCCCGTGTGTGCCTCCATTTGAATCTAGGCTCTCTCAGTTACTCATAGTGTCACCTTCAGCAACTTACTCAAGCTCTCTGTGCCTCAATTTCTTCATCATACCCTGAAAATGATAATATAGATACTACTAGTGCAAAGAGTCATTACAAAAATTAAATGAATTAAAATTTGCACAATGGCTGGGTGAGGTGTCTCACGCCTGTAATCTCAGTGCTTTGGGAGGCAGAGGTGGAAGGATTGCTTGAGGCCAGGAATTCAAGACTGGCCTGCGTAACATAGTGAGAGCATTGTCTCTACAAAAAAAAAAAAAAAATTAAATTAGCCATTACCTCCTGAGCCAGTTTCATTCATATTTATATATATGCCAGGAGTGGTGGCATATCCTTGTAGTCCCAGCTACCCACGAGGCTGAGGGGAGGATCATTTGAGCCCAGGAGTGAGAGGTTACAGTGAGCTATGATTGCACCACTGCACTGCAGCCTGGGTGACAGTGTGAGATTCTGTCTCTAAAACACAAACAAAACCAAAAAAAAAAAAAAAGAAAAAGAAAAGAAATTGTAAAGTGTTTAGAATACTACCCCCCTTACCCACTTAGACTAAACACTACATAAGTATTAGTTGTTGCTGTTATTGCTATTATTATTATTATTATTTGTGCCCTGGACAACCTGGGACAGCTTCTCCATTTGCCTGGCCTCGGCTCCATGCTTCTCAGTTCACTTAAATGGCAGGGCCCCCGTGCATCCTGCAGCTCTTTGTAGTTAGCTTTGAGATGCTAAGCCATTTCACTCCACAGTGCAGCAAAACAATTCCACTTGCAGAAGGTTTGACAATGTTATGCATTTGCAATAGGAAATCACACCTCTAGGAGTTCTTGCCCTCAACAAACACATGCTTCCAGAGTTAAATGCAGTGAGCCCTAAGTCTTGCTTTTACCGTAATAAAAATTCAAAAATTGAGAAAGTGATATCCATTACCTTAATTTCATCATGTCAGAGGAAAAGCCTCTATTAAGGCCATTTTGCTTTAAGCCACAGATGAACCCCAGAGTTTGCCTCAGCTCACCTAGTTCATCAACGCAGGGGCACCAATTGCTATGTGTTTGCTCTGTGCCGGTGAGCTTTATCATCCTCGTCCTTTTTCAAAGGAGAACACTGAGGTTCAGAAGGCGGAAGCAATCGCCAACAGCCATTTGTTGAGTGCTGGGGCCCGGGTCTGACCCGGCTCTGTGAGGGGCCCCGGGCAGAGTTCTCTCCTATGATCCTGTGGGGAAGCAACTCCAGAGAGCTGGCCTGCCTTTTGCTTCCAAGCATGTCTTTGACTCTGGTCCCTCACACCCCAATCATGTCTGAGTTTGGGGACCTGCCACCATGTTCACAACTGACATTAACTCAGAATCCTTTCCATCCACAGAATCCACCTTGGGTCACCTTCCCTGCTCAGGGACTCCCTAGAGCCAAAGTAGTCCCAAACCCGGGGATTCATGGTAGACTTCAGCCCAGGACACAGGCTATAGGCATCACATAGTCCCTTCCCAACTATCCCTGTGAGACTCCACTGCAGCTTCTCCTGCGGCCCGCTCTGGAGATTGTCCCAGGCTGGCCATGAATAGACCTTTCAAAATCAGAGAAGCTGAGCTTCCCTTTTCTGCAATCACACTCCTGTCTGAGAGAGAGAACATTACCCCTATCTAGAGAACACACTAGTGCCATAGTAGATAAGCCAACCCTATCACTGAACGGAAGATGCCCCAGGCTTGCATCCCATGACATCTGGCCTCTCTTGCCTCCTAGATTCAATATTCCAGATTCAGCCAACCTGAAAAATCACTACCAGTAAGGAAGAGGATAGAACACTTCACATTTTAGTTCCACCAAACTTTTTCAACCACCTGAAGGACCCATAAGCTTAAAATACCCCAAACACAACTGCCCTTCCCCACCCAACCTCCCTGAGGTAGGTCCTTGCTCCTGATCCCAACATGCATAGCCCCACGGGCTGGAACCCTGTTAGCACCTTGGCTTTGTACCTGAAAACCAGGCACCCAATAAAACCCAAGTGTGAATTAATAGCCAAGAGGAAGCCTACAGCAGGAGTATAACCGTTGGCTCTGATAGCTCCCACTGGGTGTCAATGTCAGGCCTTAAATCTCAGCTACCATATTATTGGTGCTACCACACAAGAGCTTACAGCAGCAAAAAGGGGACCTGATATTATCCCATTTTACAGATGAGTAAAATGAGTCTTAAGGAGTAAGAGTGACTCACCAAAGACACAAAACCACTGAACACTTGGAAATAAGTCACATCAGACTCCAGAGCCTTGGTACACCGAGGCCACTCTTCTAGTCCAGTGATTAATTCCAGCAAATAAATTTTCCAATTCCATTAAATAAAGATTGTTTGTTGTTTCTGTTGGTTTTCTCACCACTGGGATTTGCCTGGTCACTATGTCTCAGAAGGCTCCAGACACTTTCCAGAAGGCACCGTGATGACTAAATTTACCCTTCTCAGGGACATAATCATCAGTTCCTAGATTTAACCCATTAAACAGAGAAAATGGAACAACATTTTGCCATTCAATGGCAATTGTAGGCAACGATCATGGAAATAAAATAGGAGCAAGAACGTCGACAATTATACCAGAGCGCTGAGCGTACCAGCCACTTTTCCGTCAGCCTGCCACCCTTGGAAACCATCAAATGTCCCCTTCCCGTGCTCCAGTAAATGTAAATTTTGCTTGAGTAAAACCTCGTCCTTGACTTCTTTTCTGGAGAAGTGTTACTCTTTTCTGGGGTGTTATTCTCAGTCCCTCATCTAAAGGGGAGAACACAGGGAAAGAGTGCACTTCAGGGCCATCAGAACTGGGGGAACCCTGATTCTGGCTCTCTGTAGCTCTGCTCTTAAGTTTCCTTATTTCTAAAAGGAGGATCTGCCTCAGGGGCTGGTAATTACATCTCCTATTTAGAATGAATAACTGGAAATTCTAGCTTTCAGCATCGCCTCTGAGAGCTTCATTAGGGGTGTGGCAGGAAGTCTGGATGGGTGCTGGTGGGCTGATGTTGGGGAGTGTGCAAGCCCACAAGTGCCTGGCTCCTGGCCCCTCAGCTGGGATTCAGCTCAGGACAGGCAGCCACGTGTGCCTCAGTCCAGAGGCCACCCTGTCTTCCTGAGTGACTCCCTCCCGAAACCAATAACCGTCTTTGTTCCCATACTTTTTATCTTGCCGGATGGTTGTGTATATTAAATGAGAGCAAGCTGTAGAGTTGTCAGGGGTCAACCCAGCAGCCTGTGGGATGGTTTGTAGCCTGCAAGGGTATTTTGTTTGCCCATAGAGAGTTTTCAGCAGCTGTCAACTTTAAAAATTGGAATAGTTCACACAATCTAGATTTCTGAGCTCTCTTGGAAAAAGTCACAAGATTCCACAACCCAGGGTTTTCATTCCCATGAGAGGACAGTCGGCTGGAGATGACAGGCAGCTGCCCCCCTTAGCAGATGGCCCGTAAGCACTGGAATTGGGGTATTCAGCCTCTCAAATACAGTAGGTGGCCAATAAAGGACGGTTGTCATTACTTATTACTTACCAATAACTTGAGTACATGGCATTTAAGTGCAGGGACTGGGGACTTGTCAGTATCCTCCCATTGTGACTAGCTTGGGTCATTTGGTACAACCTTTGTACAGACTAGAAGACTGGTAATTGGCCTCAATACTCAAAGCCCCTATTAGGTGCCAGTCACTGTTCTGAGCACTTCACACATGTGATCTTATTTGATCTTCACAGCTGTGAGCTAGATTACTATCACAGTGATGCTTTTGCCCATGGGAGAACTAAGGCACAGCCCCAAATCACCAGACCAGCAAAGGAGAGAGTCAGGATTGAAACCCAGGTCCCAACTATTCCTCCACACTGCAGGATCCTCCCAACTGGCGATGGAGGCGTGGCCTGCCCTGCTTTCCCAGGGCTTGGCACAACTGAAAGCCCTGCCCCCCAGTCCGGCACAACTTACGGTCAAGGCCGTTGATGTAGCGCATGGTGACTTCGCAGTGGCCCCACACGGCACTCACCACCGGGTACAGCTTCTTGCCCTTGAGACCTCGGAAGGCCACCCCCAGGTACTGGCCGTCCACGATGAAGCTGAGTGTGCCTTCATCCATGTCCAGCACCACGAGCAGCGAGTCGGGCAGCGCGAAGGCCTCGTCGGGCCCCAGGAAGGCCGGGTAGGCCACGCCGGGCCGGTTCTTGCCGTCGTGGTAGAGGCGGCTGCGGCCCAGGTCCCAGCCCCACGACTCGGCGTCACTGCCCACCAGCGCAGTGTAGCCCACGGAGTGCAGGGGAGCACGGGCCGTGGCCACACCAACTACAGCGTGGGTGCCGCGCTGCCGAGCTGGCCAGTTGATCTGCCAGGCGTGCAGGCCGCGGGCGTGGCCCACCTTGCCGCGGATGCCGTCGGTGCTCTGGGCCACCGGGTGCCGGTGGAAGGTGAGCCGGTCGTCATCCTTGACGAAGACGTTGAGCGAGCGGTCCTCGGGGTTCCACGCATGCCGCAGCTGCACAGCTAGCCCCGCCGCTGGCATGTCCAACAGCTGGTCCAGCCGCGCCGGCCGCCCGGGCTCTGCACCCCGCAGCTCCCGCTTGGCCGGCCGCAGCGCGGGCTCTCGCACCTCCACCGACTTGAGGCTCCCCGAGAGCTTCTGGCCCATGCTTCACTGCCGGGAGGGGACCGCTGCAGGCCACCGCTACCTCGTGGGAGCCTCCACTGCCCGTAGCCAGGAATGGGCCACGGGGCTGGGAACCAGGCTTCCGGACGGTGGACCTCCACAGCCTCTACCGGGCTGTGGCAGGGGCCCAAGCTCCTGGAAGGAAGCAAAGGGCACGGGTTATAGCAGCAGCAGCAGCAGCAGCCAGTTGCCAGTCCCTTCATTTATGTCCATGCCTTGGCTGAGCTCTGTGCATGCACAATAATAGTACTAATTCGTACACTCATATCTGGCACTAATCTAGCACTTGCCATATGCCAGTGTTCTAAATGATTTATGTTTATTAGTTCGTTTAAACCTTAACACCTCCCTATAAGAGATATACATTATTATTCACCATTTACAGATGAGAACACTGAAGGGCAGAGAGAGGATAAGGGATTAGCCAAAGTCCCACTGCAAATAGGTGACTGAGCCAAGATTCAAACCAAGGTCATCTGGCTTCAGGATCTGTGTTCCAGACCTAGAACAATCATAGGGAGTCTGATTTTAGAAATAAGGCGTGAGCCCAGAGCAGTTGTGACTTGCTCAAGATCAGAGCCTGGATGAGAACCCAGGTGCATTTGATCCCAGGGACAAGCCCTGTACCAAGGCTGCGGGGGCACACAGCTGCTCAAGACACAGGGCTGTAGGGTGTGGCCCATTGGTTCCCAACCCTGGAGTCCTGGGGAGCCTAAACAACCTCCTAAAATGTAGCCAGGCTTGAGAGGGAAGACACAGAATAAGGGTGCAGCAGGGTTACCAGGGACATGGACATCAGGCAGTGTGGGAAGATGGGATGAGGGCTCCATGGGAAGGTGAATGGAGGTAAATAGAGGTGAGGAGGAAGGATAAGGGAGCCGGTGTCCAGGCTCTGTAGCCAGACAGAACTGCATCCAAATCCCTCTCTCCATCTCTTACTGTGGGTCCACAGGAAAGTCTCCTAGCCTCTTGGATACTCCAGATTCCTTGCCAGTAAAATGAGGATAAAACACCTCCCTCTGGTGATGGGGGAACTTAAGAGACCATAATATAAAGGGTCCTGGAACTCGGCCAACAGGTTTTCCTCTCTGGCTCTGTTTTCTGGGCATCCCATGTGGATCCCCTCCCTTTGGATGGGTGAGCTCTTTCTTCAGCCATGTAAACACCATTAACCGCATTGACCCCAGATTGCCTTCCCTGAGGCAGGATCCTGGTTTTCATGGAAAAGGAATTGGCCACCATTACCAGGAAACCAGCCAGAACCTAAGGAGCTTGGACTACTTGGACGGGCCCTGGGTATGGGGAGAGATAGAGAGCCAAGCCCTGTCCAGAGCAGAGGCATGTGCCCTCCCCTCCCTGGCCTGAGAGCTGCTGGGCCCAGAACAACTTCTCCTGAGTCAGATGAGGAGATGGATGGGTGTTTTTCATGCCCTGCCTTCCCCGGCCTCAACCTCCCACCCAGACAGTGGTGCACCCCTAGCCAAAGTCCAGGTAGGGAAGGAAAGAAGTCTGCTGCCACACAGCACAGACGAGTATCCTGTGGGTTTTTCACCATTCCATTTTATTCTTAACTCTCATATTCTTTCGTTTCTATTGTCAGATCCCAGCTTCAGCAGATGTTGACCCTATTCCGAGAGCTCTGGCTAATGTTCAATCTGAGGGAATACCAGAACACATAACAATTTGCAACACTAGACAGTTTTAAGATAGCAGAATAAAGTTACTCCTTTTCATATCTGAAATCACCCAAAATCAAGGAGAAAAAAAGAAATGCAAACTCCTTCTTCAGCAAACTAGAACACATTTGTAACCTGAACCACAACTTATAAGGAAAGGCTACCAGAAACAGGCAAGGGCTGCCAAAAGCAGTGAAGATAAAAAGTACTGTGAGAAAACACCTAGAGAAGACACCTGTGGTGGCAGATCTCAGACAAAGCTGGCACAGCCACCAGGAGCTGGCATTCCCTGAAGGAAAAAACTAATGATCCCTTATCAGAAACAATGGGAACAGGGCATGTGGTCTGGTAGTGGGAGCTGCCTCCTACGCCTTGGAGGAAGAGGAGGGCAGGGCCAACAGAGGAAACCACAGACCCGCCATTTTCACAGGAAGCAGTGTGTTGGTGAGGCAGAGTGAGAGCAGGGCTCTGAATTGGGAAAAGCCCACAGCTGCGGAACTCTGCTGACTGAGTAGAAGCAAAGACTAAAGGAAATCACTAAGACAACCCTGTGAACAAAGTTCCTGGGAACCAGGGAGCAATCCTACCCTCTTCCTGGTACCTCCTCCACATGCGTCTCCTGCAAAATGCTGATCCAAGAAGGTTCACCTCTTTCAAAGAGGAACCAGCACAGGATATAGTCGAAGATGCGATAGAAGAAAGAAAGGAATAAACGAAAAGGACAAAACACGGCAAACCAAGCAAACTCACCTGAAAAAAAGCTGTCACAAAGCAGATAAAAATGGGAACCAAAGTTGTAAACTAATTTTATAATTGATTATTTCAGAAGGGAGACAACTAGCATGGGCTCAACAAAAGATTAAATCCATTTTCCCTAGTTATAAAGGTAATCTCCAGAACTAAAAATAAAAATACACATCTTGCAAATACAAACTTTGAACACAATACAAAATAAAACAGACCATGTACTGAAAGATTTTGTTTGAAAGCAAGAGAGGCATAAAAGCATGAAATATGATAGTAAACTAAGACCAAAATATTAACCATGTCATTAAATGGCTGTAGTAAACTGCTAAAAAAAGATTCTAAGACTGGGGAACAACACAAAACCCCCAACCATATGCTACATATAAGAGACATTCCCCAAAGCAAAGTGATTTAACAATTTTGAAAATAAACGAAAGGCAAACACATAACAGGGAAGTGTGAACTCAAACTAAGCAGGCACTGTAATCTGAATATTAGGCAAGTAAAGTTGATTTCAGGACAAAAGATTTTAAGCGAGACAAGAACACTTAATAAAGAATAAGATCCACAGTTGAAGACTGAACTCACCAAATAGCACCAAAATTCAGAGCAAAAGCAAGAGGAAATATAAGGAGGGACCTTAGACAGATACACATCAGAGGCATATAATTTTAATTTCCCTCTTCTAGCTCATGATGGACCAATGGACCAAAATTAAGTAAAGACATAGAAAAACCAAATTACATAATTAATAAGACAGATCTAATTAGTGTATTCATCAAATTCTATACCTTGAAAACAAAGAATGCATGTTCTTTTCAAGTGTTCACGGAACCATCAAAAAAATTTTCTCGTATATTAGGTCACAAATGAAACTTCCAAAAAAGCAAAAATAATACAGTATCTGATAACACAGAAGGAAAACTAGAAATTAATCATAAAATTATAGATCACGAAATCCTATCACTTGGGCATTTTAAAAAATTCTTTAAACAACTTGACTCCGACTCAGATCAAAAAGGAAATCCATACAGAAATTGCAGAATATCTGGAATACAACAATAACAAAAAGCATTCCATATACTAGAGCCTGCGGGATGCCTCTACAGCCGTTCTCAGAGGAAATCATGGCTGGTATATTTATGATATTAAATTTTTAAAAATGAATGGAGCATAATAAAATAGGGAAATAATAGAACTAAGCAAAAACTCAAGAGCTGGTTCTACCACAAAAAACCAAACCAATAAAACATATAAACTATTAAAGCTAATCATGTAATGTATCATATTATATTATTATATTACTATTATATTAATCTATCATGTTGATAGTATGTACCCTTGATACGATATAATGAAATAGCACTTTACCTCTATGGGCATCTTCCCCAAAACTCATAACCTCACTCTAATCATGAGAAAAACAAAGGACAAATTCCATTTGGAGGCCATCCCACAAAATACCTGACCTAACCAGCAAGGTCATCAGAACCAAAGTCTGAGAAATCATTATAGTGAAGAGGGCCCTAAGGATACCTAACAATTCCATGTAATGTGGTATCCCAGATGGGATCTGGAACAGAAGAAGGATATTAGGAGCCAGGATTGGTGGCTCATACCTGGAATCCCAGCACTTTGGGAGGCCAAGGCAGGTGGATCATCTGAGGTCAAGAGTTCAAGACCAGCCAGGCCCAACATGGTGAAACCCCATCTCTACTAAAAATACAAAAAAAAGCCAGGTGTGGTGGCACACACCTGTAATCCCAGCTACTTGGGAAGCTGAGGCAGGAGGACTGCTTTAACCCTGGAGGTGGAGGTTGCAGTGAGCCAAGATCGTGCCACTGTGCTCCAGCCTGGACAACAGAGGCAGACTGCATCTCAAAAAAAAAAAAAAAAAGAAAAAGAAAGAAAGAAAAGAAAAAGGATATTAGGCAAAAACTGAAATCTGAGGAAAAAAGGAAATCTGAAAAAATATGTTAATAATACTAATAACTTAATTATTAATATTAATTATTAAAATAAGTTAATAATTATCAATACTGGTTCACTAGTTGTGAAAAATGTACAATACTAAAGTAAGATGCTAATAATTGGGGAAACTAGGGTGGTAAATGGCATGACCATGTGGGAACTCTCTGTACTATCTGTTTAGTTTTTCTTTAAATCTAAAACTATTCTGAAGAAATAAAGCCCATTAATTACAAAAGCTTACATAAATGTCTAAATTTTAGGGAATGCAAAAAAAGGACAAAAACTAGAATTCACCTCTTTCTCCTACTCATTAACCAGATATAAACATTGTCAGCTTCAGAGGAATTTCGCTTTATTCTCTTTTTTTGTTGTTGTTGTCTACAAATTATAGTGAATTTTATTTTTAAAAATAGGTATAATGGACCTTTATTTAGATTATTACACCTAAAAATGATGTAATTAGCATTTTAACATATTACTAAATATACTTTAAATGCATGACTTAAGTAACTAAATTTTTAAAAACACATAAAACATAAACCATTTAATCATTTAATGGGGGAGAAGACAGAAATCTGTAAAATAAGAAATGAATATGGGAAATAACAAAACGGTGTAGCTAAAAGCACTTGTAAAAGAAGTTAGACTTGTTTGTTGTTTTAACATAGGAAAAAATTTGCAACACACCAACAAATATATGACACACTCCTACAAATGAATACAAGTACAAAATGTGAAAAG